AGTCTGTCACTGTAGTCAAAAACTGAGACCAGAAATTCTGAGTGATTTCCTGCATGCACTACAGTAGGAAAACAGCCAGGTTCCAACTCCTGAACTGTTTCAAAGATCCAGTGAGACTCGAACATGTTATATACTTCAAACTTTGTAGCAGTTGGGAAGTATAGAAATAGCTCAGTTTTACAATGGTCAGAGGATCTTCAAGCAATGGGACAAAAGAAAACAAGGTCACAGGAAATAGTTTACATTTCCCATTAATTGATATCTGACCATCATTTGATATCTTCACTACTCCAAGGATTGCCCTCAAAGTTTTGGTCCCCGTGCTTATCTAAATGGCCCTGCTTCCCTTTTCCTGAATAATTAACAGAATTTTCATCAGGCCCAATCCTTAAACAGATTTACAAGGAATTTACTGTAGTGGTTATTTGTTGGGTTGTGATCACATGGTCAGCAGTTGAACCCAGCAGCAACTCTCCTGGGAGAAAGACTGGGCTTTCTCTGCCCGTAAGCAGATACAGTCTCGGAAACCCACAGGGGCCACTATGAGTCAGCATTGACTCGATGGCAGTGAGTGGGACTATAGGGGAAGGGACTGTTACATCTTAGGCCCCTTTTAACAAAGGAAATCTATACAAACTGGTACATTTCCAGCGTCAATTAACAGCAGCCTAACCCTTCCATTTCCCTATCTCATTTACATTAGCACAGTGGTTCTCAACCTTCCTAATGCTGAGACCCTTTCATACAGTTCCTCATGTTGTGGTGACCCCCAACCATAACATTATTTTTGTTGCTACTTCATCACTGTCATTTTGCTACTGTTATGAGTTGGGCGACCCCCATTAAAGGGTTGTTTGGCCCCCCAAAGGTGCCAGGACCCACAGGTTGAGGATTGCTGCACTAGAGCAATGATGAAAAGTAAATGCAGACAAGGAAGCTAGGTGAGTGAACTAGAATAATCAAAATGGGAATAATGAGAATGCTTAAGAGTGTAACCAATTGCTCTATAGTCTACTAATATGGCCCTTGTAGCCATAATTTCTTTTTTTCTTTCCTTATCAGTTTTTGGAGGGCTCATACAACTCTTATCACAAAATTTCTTATGATATGTTGTAATTCTGGACTTCATATGCCTGTGGCTATCATCCGATTTGGGAGGGCATTTGCCACTAATACACAGGAATAGGATGCGATTAAGACCTGACCTTATTAGAGGGTGTCAATAGGCCCACACTCTTTTCTTTTCTTCTTCTTTTTTTTTTTTTTGAGCACCTTCTTTTGCTTTAACACTCTTTGTTTTCTTCCTGACATCTTTAAGATCCTGCTTTAGAACCAGATGTGAAGCAGCCCACACTCTTTGTTTTCCTTGGGTATATAACGGTGCCCTCACAAAATTCCACACATTTATCACCTCCCCGGGAAAGCCAGACTTCTATTTCCCTGACTGAGTTATGTTAGAAGCAAGAAGCCCTGCTGTGGCTTTTGAATATATTTGACTTCTGGCTCTGGACCCTGCATTGGAGAGAACAGCATCTACCCCCAGAAGACATATTTCCTCCAAGCTTCACGAGTTTCTGTGGGATGTTGGAGCAAATCACAGAACCCAGGAACATGAGGGAATCTTCTGCAGGGAGGAGTGAAGGAAAATGGCACAGCGCAGTACCTTGGAAGAATTGGACATTTGGGACATCTTCAATTTCCAACTCCTTAGAACTAGTCTGGTATTAACTCATGCAAAAGAAAGAATCACCACACCAATGTCATGAATAATATGTATGGAAATTACTAAGTGAGAAATAGTTTGCTATGTACAGCTTCACCAAAATCACAAAATATTTTTCCAAAATGAGTTATATAATGAATTCTCAAATAACTCATTCATCAAAATGCCAGGGATTCCCATATTATAGTTATATAGGTGATCAAATTGACCTGAGATGGCTTCAGTACGTAATAACATTTAAGTCTTTAATTTGAATTGGGATATATATGTTGAATTAATGATTCCCATGTTTAAGTGTGTATTATTTATGTTTGAAATTTTGGGTGATATTAAGTTGTAGTTTGTTTAAACCAGAATATCATTATGTTCCAGGACCCTGGGATCTCATTTGGGAAGTTATTGGAGAAGGGAACACAATGAAAGGGAAATAAGATAGCACTGCAGTGTTCGTTCCTAGAGCTGGGCTCAGAGTTCCTTAGAGAAGAATATAGGGACTGTAGGTTTGGAGCATATGATTGTAGTTTAAGGCCAAAGTGAAATATGGTGGTTTTTGTTAGGTGTGTACCAATTGATCTTGACTCTTAGCAACCCTGTGCACAATTCAATATAAAGGAAACAAAATCCTCACAATTGGACCAATAGACTACATCATGATAAACAGAAAAAGAGATTGATGTTGAAGATTTCATTATGCTTGGATCTACAATCAAATGACACATTGCATTAGAAAGTGTTGCTGTACAAGACATCCTTAACGTGTTGAAGAGCGAGGATGTCACTTTAAGGACTAAGGTGCACTTGATCCAAGCCATGGTATTTTCAGTTGAATGTGAAAGTTGGACATTGAATAAGGAAAACCAAAGAAGAATTGATGCCCTTGAATTATAAACCTGACTTAAAAGAAGTAGGATCAGGATGCTCCTAACAAGCCAGGAGGCAACACTTGTCTTACATACTTTAGCTAAGTTACCAGGCGAGACCAGTCCCTGGAAGAAGGATATCATGCTTCCTAAAGGGTCAATGAAAAAGAGGAATGCCCTGAAGGAAATGAGGTGACTCACACGCTGCAACAGTGGCCTCAAACAGAACAATAGGACAGAATGGCACAGGACAGGGCGGGGTTTCTTCTGCTGTACACAAGGCCACGATGAGTCAGAAGGGCGCCTAACAACAACAAACTTGATGATGTTTTTGAAAAATCATTTTATTGGGGGCTCTTACAGCTCTTATAACATTCCATACATCAATTGTATTACATTTTTGTACATATGTTGCTACCATCATTTCCAAAAGACTTTCTACTTGAGCCGTTGGTATAAGCTCCTCTTTTTTCCCCCTCCCTTCCCCACACTCCCACCCTTGTGTATCCTTGATCAAATATATATTGTTATTGTTATTTCATATCTTACACTGTCCTTTGTCTCCCTTCACCCACATTTCTGTTATTCATCCACTTTGGAGAGGGGCCTATATACCCAATCATGTGATGGTTTCCCCCTTTCTCACCCTTCCCCGTCCCTGACCATCCCCTTACCCTCATGATACCGTTACTCCCATTACTGTTCCTGAGGGGTTTATCTTTCCTGAATTGCATGTGTTGAGAGCTCTTATCTGTACCAATGCATGTTCTCTGGACTAGCCAGATTTGTAAGTTAGAAATGGGTCATGGTAGAGATGGGGAGGAAGTGTTCAGGAACTAGAGGCATGATGTGTGATTCATCAGTGCTCTACTGCACTGTGGCTGAATCACCCCTTCCTTATACCACTTCTGTGTGTGGGGGGTGGGGTGGGGATATCTAAGATGGGCTTTGGGTCTCCACTCCAACCCCCTTGTTCACATTGATATAGTTGTTTGTTTTGTATATTTTGATACCTGATGCCTGATCCCATAGATACCTCATGATCACACAGGCTGATGTGCTTTTTCCATGTGGGCTATTTGCTTCCCTGCTAGATGGCTGCTGGTTTGACTTTAAGCCATTAGGACCCCAAACACTTTATCTTTTGATAGCCGGGCAACATCTGCTCTCTTCAACACATTTGCTTATGCACCTATTTTGTCTTCAGCGGTCATGTCAAGAAAGGTATCAAAGAGTGCCAAGTTATCAGAACAAAGTGTTCTTGTGAACAAACTTCATGATGATGTATCTTACAAACATCATATTGAGAAAAAGAACTAGACACAAAAGAGTGCATATATGCATAATTCCACTTAAATAAAATTTAAATATAGGCAAAACTAGTCCATGATGTTCTTATTTTTAACCTTTGGTGGATGATAGATACTGATTCTCATGTAGAGAACTTCTAGGTTGCTGCTGATATTCTGATTGTGAATTTGGATGTTGGGTACATGGGTGTGTTCATTTTTTGAAAAATTACCAACCTGTACTTTTCTAAGTATATGTTAGCCTTCAACAAATATTTTTACAAAGGAAATACTATTGCTTAGGGATGTATATCTGATAAAGCTATTTTTTAAAGTATAAAGGAAATGATGACGAAAGTAAAGTTAATGGTTATCATTGGGGTAGAGAAAAATCAGATTCAGAAGAGGCAAAGGCCTGGAGATGCTGTCACTGTTCTATTTTTTATTTCAGTGGTGGTTGACAAGAATATTGACTTAAAACTATTGAACTCTAGGATGTGTTTTAATTCTATTTTTGTATGTGTTACATTTTACATGAGCTACAAGTTAGCCGAAATGAAGTAAACCAAAACCATATGAAAACTTGGGAAATATTTATTAATAAAATGTTAAGTGAAAAATAAGTATTTTCTAGCAGCTTATATGTCAAAATTAAATGCACCAAAATATTTACATTTTACATGGATTGTCATTCTACTTTTCTGAAATAAGTATATATTAGTAAATATATATTAGGTAAAACATGGATGAGACTTTAAAAAAATTATACTTATAAAGAAACTTCTTAAGTATAAAAGCTTATGCCATGCAATTTTCCATATTCCATGCTGGGAACATATTGGAATCCTTGTGACAGTAACAGAGAAGATTAGCACATGGTCAACAGCCAGGGCCAAAGTTCAAACCCACTAACCTTGCTGCAGAGACAGATTTTCAGCCTTGGAAACCAGAGGGAGCAGTCCTGCTCTGCCCTGTAGGGCTGCTATTGTCAGAATCAACTGCAGGGCAGTGAATTTGGTTTGGTTTAGGAACATAATTATCTCCTCTCTACCATATTTATGTATGCAATAGGAACTATTATTCAGAAACCTCATCTCTTTTCTTTTATTTTCAATATCAATATCTAAGGTGTTTGATATAAATGGAGTGGATGTTACTCCTAGACCTCTTTATCAACCAGACCCACTCACTGGCACAGCAAAGCCAAATAAACTGCTGACATCACAAGACGGATCACTTGGATCAGATCTGAAATCTTCGTATACCTTGTATCAGAATACCATAATGAATCCCACTTTATTAGGACAGTACACAAGGTAAATTATACTGTTCTGTAATTCTCTTGTTGTCACTTTTGTTGGCTTTCCTTTTACATTGCCAATCGGTAACTGAAATGTCAGTTGTCATCAGTCCTCTGATTCCACTCTGTCATCCCATCATGCCAGGTCTGCTCCTCCTGTTTCTTAATCAGACTCAGAACTCTGTGTATCTTAAGGGTTCCTTTATACTCACCCCACATTATATGTGAACAATATCGATTTAACTGAAGAGTTCTTGAAAACCAAAGGATTGGGACTTACATCATGTATCCCACAATTAACAATCGCAAATTCCAATTCCACATTTTTCTCCTTTGATTCCTGCAGCAATTTCTGGGAAGTGATTGTTTCCCTTTTCCCCCATTCTCTCATGTGAACCCCTGTTCTCCTGTGTGTTGACATCTCTCCTGTTTCATAATACAGAAATGATGCTCTAGAACGTGTTGCTCAGAATATGCTGCTCTAGAGCCTGGCTCCAAATTTACATTAAAAACGAAGTATTAAAAAAACCAACCAAGTATTATCCTGGAAACAGGACTTACCCTTCTGAGAAGGCATTTGGGAATATAAATAGAAAACAAAACAGTATCATGGAAAGTTTTAAATTCAAATGCTCAAGGAAATTAGCTTTGGCCTCTTCAGAGTATTGACTTCCTACTTAGTACATTGATTTGTTTTTAAAAATGAGAATTTCAGAGAACCTTTATGAAATCTAATAAATGGGATTTGAAAGATAAGCAGAACCCAGGTGAAAAGGGAAGAGCGTTCCAGCCATGGTTCTGAGGTGAGAGAAGGAAAGCTTCAAAAATTTAAAGAACATGGGGAAAGGGAACAAAAAAAAAATGATGAAAATAAGGAAGAAATGGGTAGCAGGGGCACAGGGCGCTAACCCACCCA